CCACCCACACCCTGGGTATATAGTGACTACCACCCACACTCTGGGTATGTAGTGACTACCACCATCGGTATGTAGTGACTACTACCCCACACCATGGACATATAGTGACTACCACCCACACCATTGGCATGTAGTGACTACCACCCACACCATGGGTATATAGTGACTACCACCCACACCACGGGTATATAGTGATTACTACCCACACCCTGGGTATACAGTGACTACCACCCACACAACCTCCACAACCACAACCACCTGTCAATGTCCAGTACCCACCAGCAGACCGCACCTGGGATTGGCAGGAAGCTGTCAGTTTTGTTCCAAATGCCCACCAGTTTGATGACAGCCAAAGTGGAATATGGCCATCTTGTACACTTGGGAACAATGCCACTGAACTGGAATGTTTCGAGTTATTCTTTGACGAACCCCTGATGGAAAGTATTGTCATGGAAAGCAACACATACTACGAGTACACCATGGCAAACACATTACTTTCACCAAAATCACGTCTACACCAGTGGAAGGAGGCAACTGTGGCAGAGATGTATCTTTTCTTTGCCACAATAATGCTTATGCCACATGCATATAAGCACACTGTGAAATCATACTGGTCAACAGACCGCCTGATTGCAACCCCAGGTTTCAGTGATATAATGCCAGTGAATCGATTTGTGCTGCTATTACGTATGCTTCACTTCTCAGACAAAACCAGGCCTGACAGAAACGACAGGTTATATAAGATTAGGAATGTGTTTGTGTATCTGAAAGAGAAATTCAGTGTGTATTTTTATCCCTTCAGGAAGCTTGTAATTGACGAGTCTTTGATTCTGTTCAAAGGAAGACTCTTTCAAGCACTACATACCAAGCAAGAGGAAATGCTTTGGTATAAAGATGTTTGTGCTTTGTGATTGTTACAGTGGTCTGGTATTGGATATTATTGTGTACACTGGAAGTTATACATTGCAAAATACCAGGAAGTTATTGGGCATCTCTGATGATGTGGTTAGAACAATGATAGAACCATACCTTGGTAAGGGGCATAATATTATATACTGATAACTGGTACACAAGCCCTCACTCAGTGATTTTTTGAGAGTGAACATGACAGATGTGTGTGGCACAGTGCATGCAAATCGTAAGCACATGCCCAGGTTTGATACTGGCACTCGTAGAGGTGAGGTGCAGGCGTTTGCTGCCAATGACATCATGGCATTTCGGTGGCATGACAAACGAGATGTCACACTGTTGTCATAAGTTCACCCTAATGAAACGGCAGACACTGGCAGGCAGCATAGAGAAAGCAATGAGCCCATTCTAAAACCTGCAGCTGTGATTGATTACACCTTCAATATGCGTTCAGTGGACAAATGTGACATGCAGATTGGGTTTGCTGATTGGGTTTCGCAAGAGTTATAAGTGGTACATAAAACTCTTTTTCCATCTTCTGGACATTTCCATGCTCAATGCTTATAATGTGTATAAGATGAGGACCAGAAACAAACCATCATATGGCGAATTCTGTTCGTCGGTCATCAGACAAATAGTATTCAAGTACCAAGGAACAACACCTGCAACAGACCGCCCACCAAATTATCAACAACTACCTTCTCGTCTGAAGCATGGTGATCACTTCCTGGTAAAACTGCCTGCTACTGCTTTCAAGAAAAAGGCTCAGAAGAGGTGTTACATCTGTGCACATACAAAAAAACGCCCACAACAACGCAGAGACACTCGTTTTATGTGTGAGGAGTGTAAAACACCACTGTGCATGACACCATGTTTCAAAGACTTCCATAGGCTGCAGAACTTCTAGAAACATGTCCTGTGACTGTATATGTGTATATAAAATATAGAAAAATACACCTACCATCCGACTTACGACCAGCTCGACATACGCCCACTCAACTTACGACCGTGCATCTCACAGCTGGGCTGGGCCGGCTGATGCACACTGCTGTACAATATTTGACAATGATGAAATTAAGACACATGTGCAACATCTGGGTATCTTTATTGTAGACGTTTCGCCATCCAGTGGCTTTATCAATACAAATTCTAGGACATAACTTGAAGACAGTAGGACTATATACAGAAGATGAGGTAATCAGTCCCTCAACCTAGGAGTAGGTGCGAAGAGCACCGTAGTCATTGAGAAGCTCAACGACTACGGTGCTCTTCGCACCTACTCCTAGGTTGAGGGACTGATTACCTCATCTTCTGTATATAGTCCTACTGTCTTCAAGTTATGTCCTAGAATTTGTATTGATAAAGCCACAGGATGGCAAAACGTCTACAATAAAGATACCCAGATGTTGCACATGTGTCTTAATTTCATCTTGTCGGTATTATATACCATTCTTACACAATATTTGACAATACTCGCGGCAGCAATGCGTCATGCAGACAGCATCAGTTTGAGTAACCCTGCCCTATCAGCAGCATCATCATACTGTATTAACTGTACTAACTGGACAGTAAATTTCACCATGGCCCCTAAGATGAAGTCTGAATCTTGCTCTAGAGATTGTGGCAAGAAAGGCTCTTACTCTCCAACTCTCTATTTGTTTTCAGTGTCGCACATAAACCTGTCTGTATCTGTCTGCCTGTATATCTGTGTCTGACTGTATCTCTGTGTGTCTGTCTACCTGTGTGTCTGTCTTTCTGTCTACCTGTGTGTCTGTCTTTCTGTCTACCTGTGTGTCTGTCTTTCTGTCTACATGTGTGTCTTTCTGTCTACCTGTGTCTTTATGTCTACCTGTGTGTCTGTCTTTCTGTCTACCTGTGTGTCTTTCTGTCTACCTGTGTCTGTCTTTATGTCTATCTGTGTGTCTCTGTCTACCTGTGTGTCTGTCTTTCTGTCTACCTGTGTGTCTTTCTGTCTACCTGTGTCTGTCTTTGTCTACCTGTGTGTCTGTCTTTATGTCTACCTGTGTATCTGTCTGTCTTTGTGTCTGCATGTCTGTCTCAGAGCCACTCATTAAGAGTGTACTTGGTTTTGAAGACGCCATATTAATAATGATAATAACAATAGTAATCACTGAGGCGCATTAAATGTGTATAAAGCGTTAATATAGACATTTTGCTTAATCCATCTATGATTTTTTTTTCAAAATTATATAATAAACATGCTACATAACATATAAACATATAAATTAACAAATATGAGATGTTTTTCTGGTCGGCTTGACAGAGTGAACAGAAACCATTCGTGTCCAGGCTGGTGACAACAACAACAACGTTTGTTTACATAACTCGTGAACATTCTACATTCCTCATTCTCTCTCTCATTTATTCATTTAATCTTGTTTACTCGCCTCTCACTCTACATTAAGACTACAGATATTTTAAGGTAAGTAATGAGTGGACACGATTATTATATTATAGCTTAATAATAATATTATTATTAATATTCGTACATATGTATTATTGTAATAATAATAATAATAATGATTAATATTATTATTAATTTAGGGCACTGGAGCAAGATCCACTGTATAGCACTTTGTCTGGATATTTTGGAGTATCCTAGGTAATTTATACTATGTATGATAACTTGACTTACGTGTACCAGTGAGAGAGAGAGAGAGAGAGAGAGAGAGAGAGAGAGAGAGAGAGAGAGAGAGAGAGAAAGAGAGAGAGAAAGAGAGAGAGAAAGAAAGAGAGAAAGAGAGAAAGAGAGAAAGAGAGAAAGAGAGAGAGAGAGAGAAGAGAGAAGAAAGAGAGAAAGAGAGAAAGAAAGAGAGAGAGAAAAGAGAGAGAGAAAAGGAGAGAGAGAGAAAGAGAGAGAGAAAGAGAGAGAGAAAGAGAGAGAAAGAGAAGAGGAGAAGAGAAGAGAAAGAGAGAGAGAGAAGAGGGGGAGAGAGAGAGAGGAGAGAGAGAGAGAGAGAGAGAGAGAAGAGAGAGAGAGAGAGAGAGAGAGAGAGCCACATTCGGTCAGCCAGTCAGCCAATCACCCACCCACCCCTCCAGCCACCCACCCCTCCAGCCACCCATCCCTCCAGCCAGCCAGCCAGCCACCCACCCATCCCTCCAGCCAGCCACCCACCCACCCACCCCCTCCAGCCAACCAGCCACCCACCCACCCGGCCAACCACATACCTGGCCACCCGGCCAGCCAGCCGGATATGTATTACACATGTTCCAGAGTTGTTTCTCTTTACTTAGGGTATAGGTTATACAACATTCTGGCAGGATGACACTACCAATGGTATTCTCCCATTCCACTGTGTCGACAATACATAAAGATAACAGTAACATATGATACTGTATGTGATGTAAAATTTACAATACAGTTCACTACCATGTATACATTATATACAGTATATAAATAATTAAAATATAACAATAGAAGTAAATTATGGTAAAAAGAATGAAATAATGATTGTACATTACATTACAGTACTATGTAGGTAGTTTATATAGGAAAGTTTTGACATTATGTCCTACCCAGTATGTTGGCAATTTTCAAAAGTTCGACTTACGTCCATTTTGACTTACGACCGGTTGGTCGGAACCAAGCTTGGTCGTAAGTCGGATGGTAATAAACAACATTTTATACTGTTTGTTTGTGTAAATATTTTCTGTAAACAAAACTGTGACAATAGTGTTCATGCAGTTATTGTGTAGTATAGAAAAAGAAATAACTTACAAAATAGTGCTCATATTGGTCTCACAGGCCATAAACATTACTTGGAAAAAAACAATTAAATAATAATAGAAAATAGTACATAAAAAACTAAATAAAACAATACCGGGTGATGGCAGTCGGCGATGATATCATATACCGCGCATTTTGTGTCAACTTCACGCCTCCATATCTTGGTAAGTATTGATGGTAAAAATTTTTTGTTTAGCCTATAATGTTTAGAAAAAAAAACTATCTTTTCATAAGAAAATTTTTTTTTTCTTTTTTGAAATTTGGGCAACCCTGAGAACAAGTCTCTGAGAGAACCTGCCGACCCCCAAAGGGTTAATAATCACCATAACATCCCACTTACCAAGCTCACGTCATATGGCACAGAAATTTGAGAATCCATGAGGAGAGCAACGTGAAGTTGGAGGTGGTCCCAGGCATCCTGAATAATCTGTATTTTACCTGAGCTGCGCTTCTTGATCAAGTCGTTTAAGAAGACTATCTCTGACAGTATCACTGTGATATCATCTTCGTTCCTGAAGGAGAGAAAACATAAATTTTTGGTACACATAAAAAGTAGTGGTTTGGTAGTGCCAGTGGTGCAATAATCAAGCTACTGCACTGCTGTGGCCTCTACTATTGATGTTTAGTTGTGCCAGTGGTGCATTAATCAAGGTACTGCACTGCTGTGGCCTCTACTATTGATGTTTAGTTGTGCCAGTGGTGCAATAATCAAGGTACTGCACTGCTGTGGCCTCTACTATTGATGTTTAGTTGTGCCAGTGGTACAATAATCAAGGTACTACACAGTTCTGGCCTCTGTTATTGATGTTTAGTTGTGCCAGTGGTGTAATAATCAAAGTACTGCACAGTTCTTGCCTCTGTTATTGATGTTTAGTTGTGCCAGTGGTACAATAATCAAAGTACTGCACAGTTCTGGCCTCTGTTATTGATGTTTAGTTGTGCCAGTGGTGTAATAATCAAGGTACTGCACAGTTCTGGCCTCTGTTATTGATGTTTAGTTGTGCCAGTGGTGTAATAATCAAGGTACTGTACAGTTCTGGCCTCTGTCATTGATGTTTGGTAGTGCCAGTGGTATAATACTTTAGGTATTACCTGGAGTTTACCTGGAGAGAGTTCTGGGGGTCAACGCCCCCCACGGCCTGGTCTGTGACCAGGCCTCCTGGTGGATCAGAGCCTGATCAACCAGGCTGTTACTGCTGGCTGCACGCAGACCAACGTACGAGCCACAGCCCGGCTGATCAGGAACCGACTTTAGGTGCTTGTCCAGTGCCAGCTTGAAGACTGCCAGGGGTCTGTTGGTAATCCCCCTTATGTATGCTGGGAGGCAGTTGAACAGTCTCGGGCCCCTGACACTTATTGTATGGTCTCTTAACGTGCTAGTGACACCCCTGCTTTTCATTGGGGGGATGTTGCATCGTCTGCCAAGTCTTTTGCTTTCGTAGTGAGTGATTTTCGTGTGCAAGTTCGGTACTAGTCCCTCTAGGATTTTCCAGGTGTATATAATCATGTATATAATGTATATATGTATAATGTATAATGTATATCATGTATATAATGTAGATAAATGGTTCAGAGAATTGACAAGTTGATAAATTAGACATGTGCAACACTTGCGTATCTTTATTAAGGAAACGTTTCACCACGCAATGGCTTCATCAGTCCTATACAAAGAAGAATGGTCAAGATCAGAAGGAGTTTTAGGTAATCAGTCCTTCAGCTTGTAGTCAATGTAATCAATCCATCCACAATGAATATACCCAAGTGTTGCACATTTGTCTAATTTATCAACTTGTCGGTTCTCTGAACCATTTATTTACACTCCTGTCAGACACAGGAACATCTTGGGATCTTGATACAGGGAATTCCTCACTTGCCTAACCTATAGGCATGACCTACTTCCACAAGTGAATTTGTTTAATGTGATATCGCCTATAACTGCTTCACCTCACCTGTCTAGGTGGCTGTATTCTTTTCAAGATTGATGGACTGATTACATCAACTCCAGGCTGAGAGACTGATTACCTCAAACTTTCTCAAGCTCCTTTTGATCAGAAATCTTCTCTGTATATGACTGATGAAGCCACTGTGTGATGAAATGCTTCCTCAATAAAGATACCCAAGTGTTACACGTGTCTAATTTATCAATAATCAAGGTACTGCACCGTTCTGGCCTGTTACTGATGTTTGGTAGTGCCAGTGATGCAATAATCAAGTACTGCACTGTTTTGGACTACTGATATTAGTAAAGCAGTTCTGTATTTTTTCCACAATGCTGGTCACTGAACACTAAGATAGGACAACCCAAAGCAGGAAACACATTCACTATCATTTCTTCAATAGCTGGCATGCCAGAAATGCTATGCATAAAAACAGGCTTTCTATAAAGTAGTTTACATATGACAATCACATTAATTGTATAATATACACTACTTTACAGAAATAAAGTTTATCTGAAGTGCACACACATCACAAGACTCTAGGAATTCCAAGCTCTGGACATTCCAGGTGCAGCCACTGTACTTCCCACCACCAGAACTCGAGTCCAGCTGTATGTGATTACCTGTCTATAGCTCCAGGAGCAGAGCTATGCTTATGGTGTCTCCTCTTCATAATTTACTCTATTGTAAATATATGAGAGGGAGAGGCTGGGTGTGACTGGTGTCTGGTGTATGGAAGCAAATTCTTGGGTAGCTTTGGAAAAAGGCTGGACAAATATATGGGGGGTTTTGATAAGGACCTGCCTTGTATGGGCCAGTAGACCTGCTGCAGTGTTCCTCCAGTCTCATATCCTCATGTAAAATCTTCAAAGCTTCCAGTGATTGAAGCATTTACTAACTCCTCTCGTAAACCACTCATCTACCATTGTGTGAAGAAGGAATTTCAGGTAACTTCTTGTACCAGTTGATGCTGTTACATGTCTTTCTTGTCAGCTCTCTGCTATCTTTTTATAAAAATAAATTACCTCTCTTCTTTTTTTCAATTAGCCAAATATGACATATACAATACTTTCAATCTTTCTTCATAATGCACCTCTTCTAGTTATTGGCAGCTGTATAGCCCTTGTGGCTTAGCGCTTCTTTTTGATTATAATAATAATAGTTATTGGCAACATTTTGTAACTTCACTAACAGCAGTGTTAATGTTGGCAGTATGGTATAAACCTTGGTAATAGATACCCACAAACTAGTTTAGAAAGCCAAGTAAGCAAATACAGTAGACCCCCAGTTTTCGGCCATAATCCGTTCCAGAAGGTTGGCTGAAATCTGAAATGGCTGAAAACCATAAAGATAAAGATGTTTATTTTGACAAATTACATGGTTATACAGAGGAATATAATACAGTGGACCCTCGACTAATGATATGATTCATTTCAGACGTCTGTTCAGGTGCCGTTACCGACCGAATTTGTTCCCATAAGGAATATTGTGAAATAGATTAGTCCGTTTCAGACCCCCAAAAATTCACGTACAAAAGCACTTACAAAAATACACTTACATAACTGGTCGAGATGGGAGCTGATCGTTAGTCAAGGGTCCACTGTACTTGGGTGCACATGCCAAAAGCCTCTTTGTATGCAGAGCATTTTGGGCAAACTTAAAGATTAACTTAAGATTAGTAAGGCAATAATACATAGTTCATATGGTCATTAGATGAGTTACAGTGAGTACAGAAGAACTGTATATTCTATCAGGTAAAGCTACATGGTTCTGATAAGTCTAGTAGAGATTTATTACACTATTGAATTAATATTACAATGTAACAATTTAAAACAATTTACAATATAAACCATACCACAGGCGGGTATGGTTTATATTGTAAATTAAGTGCTTATATTGTAATTAGAGTATCTCAAAACTCCAGACCGTCACATTAGCCACTGGGTCAGCTAGCCACAATAAGATTCTTCCAACTAGGTATATTTCTACATCATAGGAAGGTTAGCACAGGCACCACTTTGACCACAAATGCAAGTTTGTACAGACGAATCTCCAGCTAGCGTGGCCGTGATGAACTCTAGCTCAAGTCCAGGAGCTCAAGACCAGGAGGCCTGGTCACAGACCGGGCCGCGGGGGCATTGACCCCCGAAACTCTCTCCAGGTAAACTCCAGGTACTTAAAAAAAAAAAAATTATTTTTTCTTATGAAATGATAGAGAATCTTTTTCTGATGGTAATGACACCAAAAGTTTGAAATTTGGTTGAAAACTCATGGAATTACGCTTCCACGAAGTTAGCGGTCTCTGCGACATATGCATATCGGCGATTTCGCCGAATTTAAGCCCTATTTTCAGCCAATTCCGTTGTTCCAGTTGACCAAACTCATAGCTATTTCTTTAGAACTCCATTTTATCTATCAGCTGAGTACAAGAAACCGCCCATTTACCACTTTGAACTACCCAATATAGTGGTCAGAAATTGGCAATTTGGCCAATTTCACACACACTAAAAAAGATGCCAATCTCAAAATAGGGTCCAGAATAAACAAGGTAGACACTCTTGGCACTAAAATAACATATCCTCTGTTCATTAGTCACATCTCTAGGTCCCTCTTATATTATTATTGCTTTATATTTTGATTTTTTATTCATACAAAAAAATACAAAATTTACTGTTATGCAGACTACTGCATTATTGTAAAAATGGTATAAATAATATCAGTGCACTAGTGAAAGAATATAAGACTCCCCAGTTGACGTGCATTGGACGTGTGGTGTGATTTGCTTACTCCTGAACATTGGTAAAAATCGAACATTTCTGCTACTTTGAGCTCAGTTTCAAGGTCGTTTTCATCGTCAAAGTAATGAAAATCATCTCTATTTCTGTAATATGTTTCCCATTTTATCACCTAAGACCATGAAAACGCAAATATATCGATAAATACTATATGAAAATACACCTCAAAGTCGGCGTTTTAATCCAAAAAAACGATCAGAGTTTTTTTTTCCTCATTACGCACTGTGTGCTGCAGGATTTTTTTTATGTGGTGCACACTGACCACACAGACCCATTCTCTCACATGTGGGCCTACTAGCTTTCTTCCGCTTGATTTGAAGCCGCTAGAATTATTGAGTATAAATACGTCAGAAACAGTGGCGCGTAACACGTATTTATACGGCATAAACAGTCAAAGGGTTAAACCAAAAACATGGTAAACATTTTTGTTTTCTCTCATTACGCACTGTGTGCTGCAGGATTTTTTTTATACTGCGCACACTGACCACAGAGACCCATTCTTTCATATGTAGGCCTACCAGCTTTCTCTTGCTAGATTTGAGGGCGCTAGAATTTATGCGTACTAGTACGTCAAAAACCCTGGGGCATAAGCCGTACTAGTACAGCCGAAACCCCGAAAGGGTTAAAAGACAAAGAAGGGAAGTAACCCCAGAGAAGGCTTTGATACCTAAAGTCTTTATGGAGGGGGATTCCCCTTCCAAACACCAACTCCTCCCTCTTTCCTCTTCCCTGTCTTCCAGAAGCCAGCATTAGCCTTCAATAAAGGTATGTAAAACTTAC